TACAGACTTAATCTTCTTCACATATAAGTTTGGATGAGGCAGTTACCACCGCTTGGTAATTAAATGCAACTTTGACTTGCACTACTCCAGAAGGCAGACACATACTAGGAAAAAAAAATAAAAACAAACCACACAAAACCTGAAAAATCATTTCAGAATACTCTTGTCTCTTTAAAACCCTTTCTTAGGAACAAAATATCATCCTTGTTGATAAGTAAACATGCCTAACTTCTTAAATGAGTTTGCAAGTCACATCATTCACTTTTTAAAAGGACAGCTTATGACATGATTTTAAGAAAACATTATTAATGTTTCGAAAGTCACGACAGCAAGAAGACACTTAAAAAATCTGCAAACCCCCTGCAATAAGTTATAGTTGAAATATTTGAAACTGACTGCATTCAGTGTAATGACAGTTCTGGATGGGAAAGGGAAAGAAGAGACGGAGATAGGAATGTCTAGCCTAATAAAAGAATTACAGGAGCAATCACCTACACAATTATTTAAAATAAAATGAGGTGCCCTAATACTCCTGTATTTTAACAGTAAATGGGCACAGGAACATAGGCACTGAAACTCTTCAGGAGCATTTAAAAAGTTCAGCTCTGCAATCTGTGAGTATAATTACCAACAACTTATGTAGCAACTATTTATCCCATGCTTTGTACAGTGCTAACAGAAGTACCTTCTGATACCTAAGGCACATGCCTGTTACATGACTTGAGTCACACTGAAATTCCACACATTCCAACTAGTCTCTCTTCCCCCAACACATATGGTACTTTGGAGAAGCAAGCATCCCAGAACAAGTAAACCCCAAACACTGGCAAGCTGGTACAAGTTTCGTCCAAACCTGTAATCATTAAATGCAACAGTTCATTCAAAAGAATGTTACTCTTCTTAAACAAGTCTACAGTGAGAAGAAACCAAGACTATCATAGGGTTCTAACATAATGTTTTTCATGACCACTGGACAAAGATAACTATGAATTCATCTGGGGGCAATGGGTCAATAAGATAATGGAGCAATTACCATAATTTCAAATGACAGTTAAGTAGAAGGACTTTTTTTTTAGAAATTATCAAACTACATAAGATTTGAATATTCATCATCTGGGTTTTTTCTCTTTTTTTTTCGTAAATACATTCATCAGGGACTTGCTCTAACCCTGCCCTAAGGGTTGGGAAAAGTTATCTGGGCATCTTAGTATAGGTGACTGAGAAAAATCAAGATATACTGAAGAGATTCAGATGACTCTGTAATGACTTTTTTTGGCTCATGTGGCAACAAATGAGTCAGTCACAGGTAATCTCTCATAGTTAAAGTTGAGGCCTTGATGTACATGGGTAGAAAAGGAAAAGGAACGTGACTTTTGGGTATAAAATTCACTGTGAAGCACAAATTAAATATCTACACCTTAAATGTCCCATGAAGCCTGATGTATGAATAGAACCTAATAATTGCATCAAAATACTTTACTAACACCTTACCACATAAGGCTTCCTTCCACTGAAGTGACAAAAAAATTGTTTCCAAGCTATCTCTTATGTTCAAATGCTTCATGTTGGAACTCCATATCCCTATTATCTTTTAAGGCATTTCAATTTAGAGTAAGTTAGTAACAACTATGCAGTCAAGATGTTCAAGGTCTTTACACTGGTGTATCTAGGTGTACCTATCCTTCTAGGATACGTGTGACTATAAGGATAACGTAGCTGTGGTAAGGGAGAATATGAAGAGAGGTCTGGGTTTGAAACAAACCAAAACCAACAACAAAACCCCCGGAGACTGCGTCTTGCTGCTCTTCAGTTCTAAGAGAAGGAAAAAAATAAAAAAAGGAATCTGCTGTCCTAGGGCATATAGCATCATGTGCATACAGGACTGCACTCCCAGTTCTCCCATGGGATACATAATTCCATGATGCTTCACAGGCCAAAGAAATTTCTATTTTAACTCTGCTAAGAGTTTATGTTCCAGAACCACAGCCTGAAGTAACAAATTCAGTACAAATCCACGTAATACTTTTCCACAGATATCTACAGATAAGGAAAGTCTGTTTAGCAAAACTTACACAAAGAGTTAATCTGTTAGAAGCTCTCAGCATAAATAGTTAGTTTAGCTGTGAGTCAGCAGTGCCTGTTTAGAACTGCAAACAGGAGACCCTTTGACACAGATAGGCGGCTTCCAGCATGTCTCTTACTTACCATCTCCTCCCCTCCCACTGCTGCTGTTTGAATCTTCCTCATACCTTGAATTTGGCAAGTTGTCACAGAAGCAGTTCCACTGCACAAGATATGCTTCTACAACTATTTTGGATTGCTCAAATGTTTAAGCAGATTGCCATCTCAACTGGGAGATCATAGGTTTTTTAACATGTTTGAAGCCAAGGGCACAACAACAAAGATGTACCATATTTAAAAAAGGAGCTTTAACAAGCTCAACAGCTTTCAACAGCTGTGCAACCTCCACCCCAAGATAACTGAGAAGTTCCCAATTGAAGGAAAACATTTATTAATTCAAAATGCATCAGTTATATTTCTCAACAGCTCACAAAGCCAAGTATTCTTTTATGCTGTGACAGTTTGCAGATAACCATATTTCAACAGCACTTTTCAGTCCCATCATACTTTAATGAATGTACACACAAACAACACACAGCATACTGCAGCCTAGGAGAAAAAAGCATTGTGTACCTCCAAAGATAAGGTATATTCAGGTAATCTAGATCAGGAACTTTGGACTTTACATCTAGTCTGAAAAGCTGCCCCTCCAGCAGTAAAATTTCCACTATTGTGCTGAGCCCTGATAAAGAATCAGCTCTAAAAAGACCCACCTAATGAGTCATTTCCGGGCATATCCCGATTTTCTTTGGCAAAAGGTATGGGCAGGGGTGTTCCTTTCCAAATACTTTTAAAACACAACCTGTTCAAGTCAAGCAGATTTGCAGACCACAGTGATAATAGCACCAAGGTTGAGTCCATAAAAATAACATTATTCTGATAGAGGAAAACCATCTATTTCTGTAAAATATTCCCAAGATACCAGTTTTTAAACTTAATCAAACAACTGACTCCTACAAAGACTCTTTCATTCCTGTAACAGAATATGCTTTCCTCTGACCATAACAATATCATTCAAAGTGCTGCTACAAGTTTCATTTTTATAAAAGGTACTCTCATCTGTTCCCAACACTAGTATCCCTTTCCCTGTGGCATCAAGAATTAACTGCTTCTTCCCAGTTCAGGACCTTTGATCATGCCTTATTCGCTAAGAGAAGAACTCTGCCTCCAGAAAAATCACAATGTCACCTTAAGGTGGCCAGCTGTCAGGTGCTGGAAACAAAGGCTCATGTGCTTTTCCCATGTTGCCTTCAAGCTCTCTATCAGTTCGATACTATCTTAATTAAATTCCATTTGATATCTCTCCTTGTCTTCATAACTATAAAATGCCCCAGTGTACCACTAGTTCAGATGTGCTAAAATCAGTCTACCATGCTAATGTTCCAATTTTCTTCTATTTACCATCACCACCTTTATCTCCACCTGTTGTCTTTTATCTTATACTTAGAAGACTGCAAACATTAAGTATTAGAAGCTTTTGGTTCTGTTTTTGCAGTTTCTATTTTCTCCATCTCAAGGCCTGTAAACATAACTGTGATCACGTAATGATGATATAATGTAAGGAAACTCTTTTTACACTCTTAAAAAACAACATTTTGGGTTTAAGTTAATTAATTCTTCCAAACAGCAAAATAACTGATACACTATTCAGAGAAGGGCATGCTTAGTTTCTGGACATAAAGATCCAGGCATGTTAAGTGAGGTAGCCCTCTAATCCAAATTACTGCAAATATTCTAAATCACTTTACCATAAGCATTATGTTTTGGCTATAAAGTCACTCCAAAGGTCCTCAGCATTTCCAATATGCTGTGCTATGCAACTCTACAATGTCCAACACTATAAGGCACACAGGACCCAATTATGTTCAAATCCTTAGTAACCTCACAGGTGATAGCATGAATTCAGACTATAACAAGACCTTCATACTGCCAAGAGTCACCAACGTACACCTGAGAGGATGGAGTGAAGGGAGATCACCAAAAGGAAGCCCCAAACAGAAGCCACCACTCATCAAATGGTTTCATCAGTCTGTCACAGGATGAGGCTGAATGTGCACAGCAGCCTGGTGACCCTGAGCTTCAGATAGTTAACAGTCTTTCAAAGCCAGGAATTCCGCTCACTGAGTGACCCTGTATTTTGCCACTAAACTGTCACCCACTAAATAGTTGCCCATAAGGTACCTGCAACTTGAGAAACATAGGCAGGTCATTCTCATTCTAGGATCAGAAGGCCTATTAGGATATTAAATTTTTCACTCTAGGTCTTGTTTCTCCTTCCAATAAGTCTGACAGAACCTTTCAGGCAGTTGCAGTGAGCAAGTTACTCACCCTTGGTAAGTGCAGACCAAGGTGGCAAAGAAAACGGATCTACAGATGGCTACAGTCTGAAAATGAGCTAACACTTCCTTTGACTGACTGTCTCAGCTTTGCACAACATTTAGTCACCACAAAGTACGTGGAAGCTGTGTCTGGTATTGACCTAAAATAATAATATAAAGTATTTATCACTGGAGCTCTGTGGAACCTTCACAGCCAGTAACATCAATCCTTCCAATCAATTAGTGTAACTCAGTCTTATGAACTCTACATTATTAGTTCTTCCTACAAAAAAAACCACTGTAAGAAGCACTAAAAAGCAGATCTGTCATCAGAACATGTACCATGACATCACCACAGTACTTCCTTAGTGAGGACACACTATGTGAGACATGAGTGCACGGTCCCACTTACCATTCTTCCTTTCACTGAGTGGAGGAAGGTTGGGGTTTCGGCCATGATGGAGGTTGAGGGTCAGCTCGGGCTGCAAGGAGAGCTCCTGCAGCTCATTGGCAACAGCTTCACTCTGCGGGCTGGGGGCCGCCGAAAGGGACACCAGCACCGACTCATCATCGTTTTCGCCAGCCCCGCCTCCGTCCAGCCCATTTCCAGCAATGACGGAAGGGGGCAGGCACACCACGCCGGAGAAATCCACTTTGGCTTTCGTGATGGCAACCTGCAAGACAAACCCATAAATCTCACATGAGAGTCTCTGCCATATGTCCAGTTCGTTGTGGTGTCTTCCACGTTATAGAGAAACGTGTTCAGTACAGAGTTTGTGTTGTCATCATCAATCCAAATCAAACTAGTGATCGAAACTTGCTACACTCCGCAGTTTAAAAACCTACATAAACCTCCAACAGCGTCACCACAGCTACTGATGAAACTACAGATTATTATCATTTTCTTTAAAAGTATGAGAACATTCTCAACTTTTGGTCCTTTAGGAACCCAATCTTGAGAAGACACAGATAGGCTGACTTCACTGGAACAACTCAATCTAGAACCTTGCTGAACTCTTGACTGCTGTCCTTTTATATCAACAATAGTGTTCTAACAACTGTCTCTTTGAATTCCAATCAGGTAAAGTAATCCTTCATAATAAATCTGGAAGGACAGCTGGGTACAACAAATGAGGATTTTCAGATAACATCAACTGCATTTCAAAAAATAGTTCTTGTTTCATTCTCTCTTCCCCAGTCACGATTGGTGAAAATAAGAGAAAAATATTCCACATAAAGTAAACAAACTTGCCTGTCTAAAACCTCAGCTACAGTAACCAAAATGTGCAATATATAAAGGGTTTTAGCGAAATAAGCAATTTTAAAGTGTGTCATTATATTTCCATAATTCTTTAAATAAGTAGTCAATATTCAAATTAAAATTCTTTTCTGTTCAGTAATTTAAAGAGAAACAAACCAGCTGTAAGTCTCCAGTGAAATGGTTACTGTGTCAACATTTAAACAGTAACAGACATTATACAAGGGCAATCGTGTTTGGTTTTGATTAATGAAGACGGAAGTCTCCTGCTTCTTAGTATGCTGCTGTTTCAACCAGTCTAAACTCGGAAGACTCTGCTGCACTGTCGTAATTTAGCAAGCAAAAGGTACTTCCAGAGGCTAACCTTCAGCTTCAAAAAGATGCAGGTAAAGCAACCTGCAAAGAAGCAAAGTACAAACCATCAGGATAATCCTCCAGAAATCAATCAAAAAGCATTAACTTGGAACAACGTGTTTAACAATACAGTTTTTTATTAAGTATTCTCCATTTAATACTCGTAATTAACCTGAATGAGTGTGACAACAACAACAAATTGATAGCTGACAAAGGAGTTCAAATAGTAATTTTCCCCACTTGCATTTCAGTTTCATACTTCAGTTGATTAGTAACATTTGTTCTATAATATTCAGAACAAAGTTCTAAGCGGCAGTACATTTGTTTCAAAAATTTGTTCAGTATATATTTAAGTCAACAGTAAGAATTTACTGTAATGAATATATGTTATTTCATCCATGTTGTCATACATTCACTCCCAGGTCCCTATGTCATGATCTGAAGGGTAGGAAAGAAAAGAAGGGCGGAGGAAAAAACCCAGAAAACAAGAAAACCCACCAACTGAACATGGTACTTGTTAAAACAAAACAAATGAGACTGAGCCAAACCTTACTGCCATACGAAGCATTTGCTTTTATTTCAGTTAAAATTTGGCTAGAAAGTGCCTACCTCCCCCCGCCCTGATATTTTTCCTGTCCAAAGTAAACACAGAATCATATCCATTTGAAAACAAATTGTAATCGTAATTTGAAAAGAAAAAAATGGGATCGTGCCCTTCTCTTTACAATGGATAGAGAAAACCTGGAAACATCCACCCTTAAACCACAGATTTAAAAGAACAGAGTTTGGTAAACTCTAACAATCTTTGCAAAGGCTGGAAAGAGTTAAATCATGACCAATATAGTTGGCCTCAGGCCTGTCCCTGTAGATGGGAGACCTGTGGGGCTAAAAGGAAGAGTAATTGCTCAGGTAGGAGGCTGGCTGGTAAGGACTGCTCCCACCACCTTAGAGGAGCCAAAGCCAATTCGCTTTATCGAAGGAGACATACTGGAGACATTACACTTTGCCTGGTTCCACATGATGGTCAGCTCATGCGGAAGGGCAAGCGCAGCCAGGCCTGAAATCACAAACAGGTGACAGACATATCTAACACCCACCCTGCAGGGATCTGGAATGGCAGGAGACTCAACCTTCCCTCCTCAATCTACCCTAAAAAAGAAAGATTTCCTTCCTCTTCCCGAAAGGAGAAAACCAAGCTTCATGTGTATCAAATACATAAGATCTGCTTCAACTAGGTAAACAGCAAATGCCCTTAGGAACTTCTGACATAATGGGTTTTCTTTTAACGAGGAATTTGTAACCTGCATGAACTAGGAAAATTACATTTCAAACACCACTTTAACAACAGTGTTGTAAAACAGAATCTATTTCCCTAATCTAGATATATTTGCATTATCCAGACCACTGGAACTCTATAATTTAGGTAAAAGCACAGCACCAAGCCACAGTAAAAGCAGTCCAGCCGAGCCAGTGACAACAAGAAGCAGAATAAGAGATCGGTGCTCACACACCAGTTTGCTACATGACCTTGAGCAACATCATACCGAATGGTGTTAATTGGTACTGGGATTATAAACCAGAGTTTCTCCAGTAAATTGTTCAATGAAACTTCAGCACAGCAGCTGGATTATCTAGAGTTGTACCTGAACTTGCACATTTCCTAACTCGTGCAGAAAATGACACAGATGGAAGGTAGCTTAATTCTAGTTGGCATGTCATTCAGTGTTTGTCCCAAATCAAAGGAACACAGCTTAAGCAAACCTTGACTTGACAGTCATTCTTGCTCTGTCTCTACATCCTGCTGATTCAGCTTGGTTATTTTTCATCTGGATCAATTCCTCCAAACAAGGCACACTTGAACCAGCATAGTGCAGTGGAACATCACCACAAAATACAAAAAAAATCAGCCTGACTGTCCAGACTCTCAAGCAGTCTGGACAACAATTCTGTTACTCCAAGCAGGGTTGCAGCTCAAATAAAACTAAACTGGGATGATCCATTAAATGCATTAGGTAAGCCTGCCTTCTCCTTCCTCCACATTATCTCCCATTTCAGACCAGAACAAGAATCGGCAATGACACATAAAAAAACAAGAAAACTGACCCAGGTGTAAAAGCTAGTCTTCTGGTTTACACTGCTTCTAAATCAGATTCCTGGTGTAGTTTGCCCTGTAGCATCATCAACACTTGTCCCAGCACTTCGCAAAGGAGAGAACCAGCTTATACCATTATTACATACAAACATCCAGCCTCTACCTAAGGGAAAGAGAACTCTTTTTCAGATCAGTGCCAAGTCTTAGTATGTAACATATTCCCACATTGAAAAAAATAAAAAAAAAAAGGCATCCAGTCCTCAAGACTACAATAAAAGCTATAATTGGATGAGTTTGATTTTAATGTTTTCAATTAAAAGCCTGATGAGGGCATAGAGGCATTTGAAAGATGCTTTGAGGATTTATAACCATTCATGCTGCAATATTTGGAAGTCCTGTCAAAGACATGAAATCCTTGTCTGCAACCAACATAAGGCTGTTTCTAGACTTCCCAGGCAGCTATACCACCCTATAACTGTCATTATAAAATGATCAATCAGTTAGTTACACAGATTAATATTTAGAACCTAATTAAAATTTTACAGTGTTTGTTTTCTTGTCATTTCCGAACAGACTAGAAACTTTCCCATAAAGAAATGTACCACATCATAATCTTTAAGTGAGTCATCCAGAAGCTGATGGACAGTATTAAGATCAAGTATTTCTCATCCCCAATAAGGGCTTCAGGATGAGTACCCTCAAGGATTTGCATCTGTTGCCTAACCAGGCAAAAGCTTTCTATCATGGCATTTTTCTACTTTTGGGCCAGTTGCTTCTGGGACAAGAGTGGCTGTGATACCACAGATGTTCTACAGCAGCAACACCAGCTTAACCAACCCTTAAATCCTCCACTGTCCAGCTGCTCATTTTTATCCCGACGCTGACCCTTCTTCAACTGGGGAATCTATTTAGCTGAAAACCAGCCACCCCAGTCTATTGCCAACTACACAGACAGCTGTGTCACCATGCATGTGTTGGGTAGATTAAACCATCTTCAACCTTCAGATGACTGCTATCAAAGGTAGCCATCCTGATTTCTTTTTCACTTCCTTGTGCTTTATAGTCCCTCATGATAGCCAAGTTTTTGTGTGGCTGGGTGGCAAGCCAGATTAGCAACAGGTGCAGATTAAAACTAGTAGTTTGTGTGTGGCCAGGTCAAATTTAACACAGATCAGTTCCTTGATCTGGTTCAGCTTGTGCTGGCTGACAGGCAGTGAGGAATGAGCAGGCTGGACTGCTCCTTTTGTTGGCAATGCCAGTTCAGTGTCTAACCAGAGGATGTGGTTGTATGATACAGCTAAGTTGGCCTAAGCTCCTGCCAAAAGGGCGGTCTTGGATACATGCCTTTTTTGCTTCCCTGTGCCAACACTGGTGCTTGTCTGCCCCTATGATGGGATGATTAATGGAGCTAAAATGACAGGAAACTAATCCTAATCCCTTTTCCCCCTCCCAGTTTTCTTTTCACTAGCTTACTGTTGGTCAGACAGGTCTCCATACTGCATATGTCTGTCTATTTTGTTCCCCCTTCACCTCCCAGGGTTTGAGCTGTCCTTCAGTGTTTCTGGATGAGCGGCTTTAAGAGAAATTTCTGTAAGTATTTTGTCATATGGTAAATGCAAAGTAGAATACCTTTTTCACCAGCAAGTAAGCTAGTCAGGTTTACTGTGTGTTTACTGTGATATAGTGCTGCAATGGCAAGAGGATGCACTTAAAAAGCTACCATGTAAAACAAGCTTCCGAGCAGTTTAGTCTTTGTAGTTTGCAGGTTTGTTAAAGATAATATTTTTCTAAAAATTATTAGTGGCTGTGGTTCTTAATTTTGTACCTTGTGCAAAATTGACTCTGCCTTGTTTGTCTATCTTAAATTGAAGTGTCTTGAACACCTTCAGAACTCAGAAATGGATAATGATTATTTATATATTTACAAGTAGTGTCTATTTTTTCTTTTGAGCAGTCCCATCTTCCCCCTCGTGTTATGGTTCCTGCTTGTATTGTTGTGACAGTGGGTTAGTGCTTTATAGCAACATAATTTGAGCACTCCTGGCTCCTGAGAGCACACTGTTGCCCCTGCATGATTTTGGCAATATTCACATACTCATGGCATAATCAAGGTCTTGACAGTATTTAAATGAATCAAAGAACAGTACTACCTTCCCTAATGTGAAACCTCAATAATCAGAGCAAAACATATAGGAATTCAAAATTTAAAATTAAAACATAAAAGGAATTTAAAAATAAGTAAGTAAAAATCAGAGAAGCACTGGGGGGGCATGGGGGGGTGGGCAGGGGGGATGAGGAAAGTACAATTCCCAGATCAAGAAAGGACACCTCTCTAAACAGCTTTCTCTTGTTTTGCATTTTAGGGCCGAGTTGCCAGGGCAATAGTAATTTCCTACCGATTTAAGAATTGCTAAGCAACCTCCAGCACCTAATAGCAACAGCATGTGTGTGCAGCTGGGCTATTTTGAGAAGACAGTTTTGGTTTTTTTTATTTTAAACTCAAGAGCAGTGTTCTGTTAAATGACTATGCCAGCTGAGATCATTCAGTCAAGAGAAGAGGCAATCTTGGGGCAAAGAGGCTTTAAGTGGACGAATCCTTGAAATGAGTGAGAAGACTGGAAGAGAATGCCATGGCATGCCCAAAGGCAACTCTATCCCCCAGGTCATCACAAATCAAAAGAATACCTAGAAGTGCAGTTTTCAGCAGATGAAAGAGAAGCATCACATTAGCTTGAAAAGCTATAACAATCACAGTGAGAGATATTCCTTTTACCTTTAGATAGCAAAGAAAAATCACCAACAGGAAGACCTCCAAATCTGTATTAAAAAAATTATTTCATTTCCTGGCAGTCAGCTTAACTCAGGCATGCAACTGTTGGCAGAATTATTTCTCCACTTAATTGAGAGTTAACATGTAACTGTCCATAAAGTATATATAATACAGTAAGCAACAAGGCTTACTTATATAATACAGTAAGCAACATCACAGACTGTACCCTGGAGGGGGCACAGCCTTGAGAACTTGTTCCTGAGGAATGACGTTAAGAAACCAAACTATGCAGATCACTAAAGAGAGACCTTCTTAGATCATGGAATTTTATTTTAACACACACATTCCACACACATTTGTCTTCTGCAAAATAAACCTGTCATCAGCTGCCTTCACTTTCATAGTAATTGGGGGTACGAGGAGGCAAAAGCAGTCAAATTGTAACCAAATTCTTTCTGGATTAGAACTAGTGATTTGGAGGTGTAAGCTGTCCATTTTACCATAATCATAAGCCACTACTCTACAAAGATTGTATTATAAAGGCAAAGACTGCAACATATGTGAACAAAGATGCTGGTAAAACTCAAATCAGCACAACTTTATCTGAGCTAAATAATCTGTATTTGTATGTGTACTGTGCCAGTAACACTACAGTAAGAGAGGATATCTTTGAATCATCATTGTGTCTCTCTGCTACCACCTCTAGCAAATCTATCAGTACAAGAGTCAAAACATGCTTGGGTCAGCAAGAAAATGGCAAGCAATGTTATCAGACAAAAGGCATGAACAGCTGTATAGAGATGTGAGGACCTAAGGGAGAAAAGATGCATATCTAGTGCAAAGCAATCAACTGCATAATTTGTGCTGTAGACAAACAGCTTTGCACATGATTTTAATAACCACTCATCAAGAACGATATTTCTTAAGTCCTAAGTACTTCCTTCACAAAATACATTTGTTTCACTCAGTCCCGCAGTGATAGAAAGTCATTAAGAGGTCTTGAAAAATCATAGTTAAACATTCATTTCTTAAAGCCACAAATAGGCTAAGAAATGTAGTTTGCCATTCCAGATATTTTTAAGAAATACTTTTCATGCTTCAATATTTGGAGGAACTTTGTGGCTTTCAATCTCATGACCTCTGGGCGCACAGAAGAACTGATAACACCAAAGCTAGTTTTGAGATTCACAGTGATATTTATAATAAACAATCCTTGCTGAAAAAAACAATGAACTCTCCACCAATTTCTGAAGATCTTATTTAAGCTCAAAGTATGAATGAGGAAGACATTCTTCCAATTTTAGAGGATGCTGAGCCTTAAACTAGTGAAGTACTTTATAGACACCTAATTCTATCATACCTCTTAGTGTGCTGAACGAATGATCCAGTTTGTGAGACTAAAGATGATGGCTACTGAAGAAACAACAATTTCTGCTGAAGTTCAAAGAATAAAAGAGACCAAAAAAGACGTGATGTTCAGGTATCATGTATCAATAGGTACACCAGTATATTTTAGGCCTTGGTCATGATATAGGCTCAACATCCTAATTAAAAGAGGAATCCAGCCTTCTGCTACCAAGCTGTTGGTTCCTGCAGCTTCCCTTTTGTCTGATCTAATGATTGTGCATCCACAGGGTGACTCAGGTCAGCCGAACCAGCAGACAATCCACTCTGCAAAAGATTAGAAACCATTTTTTCCAGGATCAGTCAGCTAGTTGGATGTGCCCTGGGGCTGCACAATCACAAGCTCTGATGCAAAGGAAGAAGTAGGAGCACACAGCTGTGCAGAGGTTTGACCAGCCTTTGCAACAGCAGCACACTGAAAGATCAACTTAACTGTAATGTCAAAGAGCACACTTAAACATCTAGCAGTGCTGCCAACTTAAGCAGCCTGCTACACATTCCTGCTCTCATACCTTCCTCATCGTGAAACCAACACAAATCTTACAGAGACAACATGTACTAGACCAGATGAAAAATAATCTAGGAGAAAACACTTCTTTCCAGGAGCGTGTGTTCCCCAGAGTGGCTCACCATGGCCACAAGAACAGCTATGCCAGCAAAACAGAGGGAGCCAAGAAAGGGAGCAAGCTGTTTGAGCCTGCATTGCTGCCAAAGAAACGCATGATGGACTGCAGCGTGTTTAGAACAGGATTGCCTGTTTTTCACCACCTTCTAACTGACTTCCTTGCAACTGCTCTCTGACGCATCTTTTAAGTTTTCCTTCATGTCGGAGGCAAAGCATTCCTTCCCACCCCATAGGGGCAACTAGTGGAAGCAATGGATTCAGCCAGCAGCAAAGGCATGTGGCAACAGATGCCAACAACCAGTGGAAACAGGGAGGCTGCAGCAAACTTGAAAAGGGAATGCTGACAATCGGCAGCCAGATGTGAGCTTTGACTTGGAAATTCATGGCTGAGAAAATATGAAGAAACTCTTGGTGAATGTGGATTTAGGGCAGATTGGGATGAGAAATTCACTGGACAAGAGAAGCGTGGAAATAAGACCTCAAAAGAAACAATACACTTTCAAACACAGAAGATTTGGAATTTGGGACAAGAACTGGATGGCCTGGGACATAATAAAGTGGTGACTTGAGCAAGAAAGGAAAGACAGCCCAGGGAACAAATCTAGACTAAAAGAAAATAAATTTTTAAAAGGAAAAAAAAAGAATTAAACCAAGATAAAGTAGTTAGATTTCAGTCAGTTCAGTTCCTGGCACAAGCGTTCATGTCAGCACAAAGTAGCAGGCAAAACTGCAGAACTTATAGAATCTTAAGGATTTTATGGCAATGTTTTTGGTAACTTACTTTAGCATGCCTGAGGAAGTAGTTTTATATTTTAACTAATTCAGTCTGATCCTAGGCTGTGACTGAGAGTGTAGGTCCATATTGTATCACCTCACCTCAGTTTGAAATTCTCACCTTCTCTCCTTCAAGTAGTGACTGCAGCCCCAGAGCAAGTCAATTCAGCTTGCTGTTCTGATGAAAAGCTACACCTTGGAACATGCTTGTTTTCCCACTGTGCTAGCAATCTGAACCCTGCAACCACAGATTTGTTAGATCTCATTAGAAAAGCAAACAAAAAACCTAAACAAACAAAACCTAAACAAACAAACAAAAAAATCGAGGAGCGCAAGGCCCACTGAAAAAATGACAGCTTTCAATTACCTCAAGTACAGTGTGAAATTAAAGGCTGAAACAGTGTGGAATAAGTTTTCTGACCCCAGTCACATTCTTTAGTCATGACTATGAAACTGTCTACAGAAATTAAACCAATCTGAATTGATTTTGTTTCTCCTCCCCATCAACAGATACTGGGTGTGCAATTCAAATTTCTTTGCATTTATTGGCATATTCTACTACCCAGCGTGACATTCATTAAGTGAAAATACCAGCAATTGAGACTGAGTTACTAGATACTCTGTTCCCTTTTTCCCCTACAAGAACAAACTTTCCACCCTTGGATCTCCCCCCTACTGAAAAATTGGTAAGATTTTTCTTCAGTGCTTCACAGAGAAGCATATATCAATATCACTGTCTTGCTTAAGTTAACCAGTTTATTGAAAAGAAGTAGCAAGTACTCAAGAGGTGCTCCCTAAAATGTAAATCTAATGAATGTGAGTAAAGAACATGGTGGAGGGGTGGGGGAATTGGAACGCTGCTGTTCTTTGCCGATTCAAAGGATAGCAAATTCAACCTTCTCTGCTTCTTTCTTTAAAACAAGTCTTATAATTGCTCAGCAGCATTGAAAAGTGGGCAAGTGTGCTGTTTATGCTGTTAACACTATAAAGTCCTTGATGCATAGATGTTACACTTGACATCAATGCAAATTCAAAATACTTAAATATTTTATCTCTAAACAATACTATTCCTCACGTTCAGTGACCACAAGCAATTTTCAATTCAGCACATAAGAACTAAAGGGGCAGACTAAAGACAGCAAAAAGAATACAACACACACCTTACTCACAGTTCCCACGGACAAACCCAGCTCACTTCCATGCCAGCAGCTCTCTCCGCAGTCACTGAAAGAGAAAATAAGACAGATAGTCAGATTTAAAAACAACCAAACAAACAAACTAAACACAGCACAGTCCATTTTTTGCTTTCAGAGTAAGGAGCAAAGTTCTTTATCTAGGATTCTTTTTACATAGAATCTTTAATTCATTTGGCACACGCAACAGAAGTCGGACTGAAATACCACCAAGACTGCCACACAGTCTTGATGGTATATACATACCCATGCTACTTGCAGAGCAGAACTTTTACTTTAGGACAGCTAGTTAGTCAGTTCTGAAGAATGCAGTGTTTGAGATCTACTAAGGCAGAATATTCACCAAATGATACTCAGTTTTCTTGTCCGTGTACTGAAATAATTCTTAAACACTGGATGGTAGAAGTTGTAGCCTGTTATGACTAGTTTATTACATCCATCCAAACAAAAATAGGGAAAAGTAAAAAAGTACATTTCAGAGATTTGTCAAGACTGCAATGGGAATTCCATTTTTTTGGGGGGTGAGGGCTCAGGATAACCTTCCTGTGCACCTTAAAAACTCCTAAACGTACTGAAGTAACACACCACTTTGCTCTGGCAATACAGCCTGAACAGGTGTGCATAGCGGTACTTGACTAGAAAAAAATTACTTCAGAGGCTCTGGAAGACTGTTGTCTCAAATGGCAGGTGTCAGAAGTTGGTTTGTAGTTGCCATACTTTCACTCCTACTTCCTTAGCCACCTTTAAAAAAATACAAATCATCATAGGAAGGTTTTAACATGAAGTTTCTATTCCATTTCCTCCTCCAAGCTCTTCAGACTTCAGGGCTTCCTAGACATCAGAAGCACAAAACTGCAGTTGAGATGCCATGATATTCTGTCAATAACATCAAATTAAAAAAAACAGGCACCTCCCTAAATATAAACTTCAGACTGGATGGACTTTGGACAGAAGCATTACCATAGTTCCAATGAAATGCAAAAAAAATAGAATGAGCTATCTACTACTTCAACATCAGAAGGAATAAGACCAATTAGACTGATTAGTCTCGATGCTTGGACAGTTGGCATATCACAAAATGTGAAAGTTTTCTGATCCCCACCCAGCAAATTAAAGAAGGCCACGGTTTAGCAGCAGTACAGTAATGAATTGCACACCAACTAGGTCGACTCTTCAGTTAACGATTTGAAGAAGCGATTTACAGTAAGATAAAAATCAAAAAAAAGGTGACACTACTACTTTAGAGGCTTCCCTTACAGAGAATGTTTCTATTTTTCTTTGAATAAAATGTGTCAGCACACATTAATCATGGCTCTATCACAGAATCAAGAATTCATTCTGCCACCACTTACAGTATTTGTCATCAAGTCAATATTTAGAATTACTTACAACCGTTTAATTAATTTAACGTGAGAATCCATAACAAGCAATTACTTTTCTTTAATAAATAGTCAAGCTGATACAACTGAAAACATGATAATGATGCAAGGCTACAAAACCAAGTATATACTTAAAATGTACTTTTCACAGAATTGCAGACCCTAGATTTCCTAAAAGGCAAGGCAAAAAGGCCTCAGAAAGTCGAGGAAAGTCTTCCACAAAGATGTAAACAATTAACCACTGTTAAGAGTTTGCTATTCCAACATGATAATAAAGTACCTGCCATAATTTGGTAAAATAATTTTGCTGGAGTATTCTTCTGACAGCATTAAGCACATAACATCAAAATTCAGGTATGGAGTGTTTGGTTGTGATGGTGTTGGTTTGTTAAATCACAAATAAGTGAGTGATATTTATCCATATATTAAATCTTTGCCCTAGTGCCAGTTTTTGTTATCTTTTGGGTTTGAGTAGTTTTTTATTTTGGTGTTTGCTGATTGCTTTGGGGTTTTGGCTTTTTTGAGACTCGGGTACCCTTGAAACCACTTTTCACACACGAAAGCGTGGAAAAGTTATGGATGTGTTTCATTGAAGATTTCTACTGGACAATCCCTAATTTCCAGTAATCTTGGTTCACCGAATATTATCTTCTAATATTAGATTACAACAGTGCTGATAAAGCTGGACAATCATCAAGCTGCTGCATTTAATTTCCAGCACTTATGATCCACGTTCTCCCGAATCTCATTTGAACCCAGACAGCTCTCACATTGAGTCTTTTCTTGATCAGCCTCTCCTACCACTTGGTACAGGGCATCTGCTAATCTTTTACAGAAGTGAAACCCCAGAACCAACCAAAATAATCTTTGTGTCTTCTTCAGCAAATTTTTTTCTGGAAAACTTCAAACTGCTAAATATTCCAGGTTTGAAGAATGTATCAGGCTATTCCTACTCAGCTGGAGGGTGAGGCAGAAGGGGAAGAACCTCTCTGTACACCCCCAGTTCTACATCCCTTCCAAGGCATTTGTAATCAACAATCAAACACCAGGCCGGACAGACACCTCACCTGCCACAATACGGGACACATACTCAGTGACTTTGGCATCTTTGCAAAAACTTAGCACTATCCTTGTGAAAAAGAACTTGTGTGTGTGTGTACATGCAAGCACACACTCAGAAAACAGGACTGATTATTGCAATAACTTTCTTGCCTCAGTTTATTTACTTCTCCTGACTTTCCAGCACTTCCATCAGCCTGCTCAGGAGTCCAGACATCCTTGTTCTCCCATGTAAAACTCATACTCCAGGACACCAGATATTTATCTTTCTTTCTCTACTAAGAACTAAAGTTTTATTCCAGATACTCTGGCCAATAAAAGGTCAACTTTAAAACTTTCAGTCCTATTTGTCATCGAAGCTCCTGCTCAATCAGAGGTGGTTAAAGTATTGCATCCTGAGATTTATTCTTAGCCATCTGAACCCCAAGTAGGAGTCAAACTGGCTTGCAATAGGCACGGACAGTTGTCAACTTTTTTCTAATACGTGTGTGCCATTAAGCTAAGAGATGCTGCAAGTATAATATATTCCTGTCATTATCCTTATTCACTCACTCCATGGAATTTCAATCCAGTTTGAAGACAGAACACAGACACACCCTGCCTTCAAAACTAAGTCAAACTTCACAAAAATTCAGCAGAACAGCCTTACAACTGTAATGAAAGACAAGCTCTTTTACTGCTCCTCCTATACTGCAGCAAGTGAGCAAAGATTAATCTGATAACTGAAACATTTTCTGGCAAAATTCCACAGTTTAACTGCTTTTATTATTCTTTGCTCATAGCACAATCAAAACATTCCTCCAACACTCCTTTTTCCTCTCACTATACAGTCAATGCAGGCAAAACTCTACTGTCCTAGATTTTCTGAAGAAAAAATAGTGTCATCTCTAAGAAATGCAGAAGTCTCATCTTGCTGATAAACTTCTCCATCCAATGGAAATGTTTATATGTCAGTGTTTACGTGTTCAAGCCAAATGGCTGCTATTCCAGTGATTACAATGGCTTATTGCCTTCACTGGTGACTTGGAGCTTGAGCACGTCTGAACAACACAGAAACTCACTGACAGGATTCACAAGTCTGATCTGAATACGGCAATGCAGAACTCATATCACATCCTTCCAACACCCATCCTGTCTCTCAGATGGAGGCTTTGAAAAGATTCAGACTCCAAGTGATCTGTTCCGGTAAAGCATGCCCGACAGGACATACGAGAGAGAATTCAGAGAGTAATATTAGGCCTAATATTAACTTGGTCCTACCAATCACTCTAAGAAAACTCTCATCCAGGTTTGGGTCCATCTTACACAGTGGGACAGAAATTAGGTTACAATGTAGACTGTAATCACATTATGTTCAAAACTTCTTATATTGCTATAAAGATCACTAAAGAGGGTTAAAGTAGTAATAATTTTTAAAAAAGAAATCATTCAAGTAGAGTCTTTCAATGTTTTTTTCCCAAAAGTTTCTTCCTCAAGGAGAAAAAGCTTCCCTGTAACTGATAGAAAGTGAATCTTGTCTAATCTTTGCCCAGAGCTGCACCTTCACACACATAAACAGTTGCAGAAAGAATTAGTTCATCATAACATGGGTATGGGTGCGTGTAAAGGATGATCTCATTTGAGTAAGTCTAAAGAGGGTGCTGAACGTATGGATCAGTCGTGCAGTGAAGACATATCCTCAGTGCTCCACTAAACCACAGCAGGGGTAGAACTCAAGGAACCACACCCCCTCTCCCTAGTGTGGCTAGAACTAGTCGTAATTGCCATATATTACAGGAAGCATTAATCTGAGGTTGAAACAATCTGTGATGTAGACTGTCCCAAACCAAAATTAATTTCACAAAACTAGACATATCATTTCAGTCTCCTGTTCCCCTAACACGGAGATGACATGTAGTCAGTACATTTATTTGCCTCACTGAAGATGACAAAATAGGCAAATTTCTGCACTGCTTTATGTCAGGGGCCCCTGCACTGTGGTATATACACATTTCATGCACCCATGGCAAGCAGAGCCGGTGGCAGCAGCAGCAGTTCCTGACCATGTCCAGGGGAAAATTTTTTTTTCAGTGCCACAGAGGTAGCCCCCGATGATCAACTCTTAACAAATAACGTGCTGGCACATGCAGCAGCAGCTACCAGGCTTCCTCTGCTGTGCTCCACAAAAACCCTGCTTTTCTGGATCAGCAGGGCCCAAACAAGCTGAAATAGGGAGCACAAGTTAATTAAGAAGGATAAGTAGAAGCAGTCGACACGCTAGTTTGTGGTAGGAGAGCAAAAGCAGACGGATGGCATGAGGTTAAGGTGCACAAGAAATTCCCAATTAAAAGCTCAGCCTTTAGCTTTCAAGACTTAGAAAGACTTGTGACTGTGTTAAATTTCACCTTCTTATGGAGATGTTATCAATATGGCCGTGTGCCTAAATCCAAAATATTTCTTCACACAAGAATAATGATGCTGTGCACACACAGAAGAAAATGGGGGAGGGAAGGGGAAAGGAATGCTGCACAAACTAAATCCATTACTCCAATTTCTGAAATATAAGCCAACCTAATTTAAACAATTACAGTACCTTACTCAGTGAAAAACTAAAATTTATCTGGGTGGAAAATAAGTGTATTTTATAAGAAATAGGAAAGGATCAAAGAAAGTGAGATACTGTTAGCAGTAGTTTCTTCACATCTGAAAACAGACTATCAGACTGATGTCAGATTCCTGTATTTTTTTGTTTGTTCTCCACCAGGACAACCCACATTTAAAAATGTGAAGGCATTGACTGACCAGTACAGCATACCTAAGACTGGTAATGAAAACTGTCCCCACCCCAATGCCATTCATTGCCCCCGAAGAACCCACTTACCAGTGTTTGCACTCTGTAAGGCACTCAAAGGATGGAAGGAAAAACATACACATTAACCACACACAGGTGTTCCTGAAGAACTGAACTGAGTATTGACATAGAAATGAGTTTCTGAATTCACACAGACTCACCCATTTCATCTGATGCACATGCGTAAAAGAATCATAGAAGAGTCTTAAACTATGGTTCCCTTTAGCTGCAGCTCTTACTAATCCACTTCTGCTCTCCCTCCACTGTAGCTACACATTCCTTCAGCCCTCCCCCATCTTTTATTTGGGGGTCTGAGAGGGAAAGGAATAGAACAAGCTCAGATTAAAAATCAGGTCTCTAACAGGCCCAGCATGCAGCCCCACAGACATACCATCACTACTGAGGTGACAGCACATGATGGGGAGGAAAAAAAAAGGCAGATGGGAATATGAGCTGTTCAAGACAGTACTACTACTAAAAGAAATGTCTGTGTAACCACATCCTCTGTTTGCAGTCTCAGTTCAGCAATATGTCCAACAGGAAATAATTAGATTTGGCTTTCCCAGAGTAGGTGTTTGACAGTTTCAGACCGCTGAACAGTTGCCTTTTCTGCTTCCTCTCCAACAGTTTCTCAGGAAAAGACAGTGACCCTCAGGACACAGTTGATAAAAAAAAAAAAATCTTTAAAGGAAGAACCTTGCATAACTATAAGATTTGCTAAGTGTTACCTCTTTTTACATGGAGGAAATCAACTGTACTCTTCAAAAGGGATCTTAATCACAATACCGAATTATCAGTAAGTAAACAGACATTGAGACAGACCAATTTTATTATCTACAACACAGGAAGGACAGTTGAGTAGAGAGAGCAAAGACAGAAGACTCAGAGTTACTATAAATTGTGTTTTTGAAGTAAAAAGCATGCAATAATTAATCTTGTGATAACGTTTTGATACATCCTAAGAATTTATCTTTGTGCTCTAACACCCAAACCTTTTTGGTTCTGATCCTCTTCTCTATCTAGCACAGTTGCCCTCTTCCCCACTAAATACCATACAGTAATGCAATCATGGCTCACTCAACAGTAAAGGAAATCCAGTAGGGCTTTTTATTATTATTATTAAATAATTATTAATTTGATTGCCTGAATGTACATTTCACTTAGAAGTATCAGGATGAAAGAGTCTGTGAAAAATGCTGCTGCTTTACCACGCCAGTAGAAGTCAGAGTTAAAAAAAAAGACACAAGCAAGCACTCCTCCTCAAACCTAAGGGTTTCCCATTACTTCATATTCAAGAGGAGGAAAAATTAAAGACTGCTTTTGGGAAAATGCCATATTCTTTTAGTCCTATGTCAAAATGTCTTCTGTACTCCCTTTCTTTGCATTTTATTTCATGATCTGCTTATTGCCTCAGGATTTCAGAGCCTTCTCCCACATGATGATGAGAGTGGATGGCCTTAATTAAATAAAAATTAAAGCTGCTTCCACAACTGTTGGAACCAGAAAACCCAGCACTGCTTACATTTTGTGCAGAACAATATGATGCTCAAGAAACTATAACTGGCAATAATTCACTCTTTTCCTGAAATCACATTTGGTATCTAAATTATAAGAGAGGAAGAAATGGAAAGGGCTCAATAAGTTAATAACTGTTAATTAAGAAGGGTAAATTCGCCTACTTCTGAAAAGCTTATAGCATTTGCTTTCAACCCTGAGTCTCTTTCTCCCTTCAGCAGAAAGCATGAATCTAAAGAACAGGAGTTCACAGTTAGCTTCAAATCATACACTTATTTTAAATTCTATTATTAGATTCTATTTAATCACAACTATTAGATCACTCATTTAATCACTGCAGCAAATGGGAACAAATGGGTGTCCCTTTCATTTCATATTCAGTAATGACTGAAGTATTTTTGGAAATACTTATGAAGATCTAAAGGCACTTTTAGCAGTTCTACAATACGGATTTTAATAGTGTCTTTACAAAAGCCTATTGAGGAGGTTCTGCACAAGCAAAAGGTATATTTTGCAATCACTGCTCAAAGCTTACACTTATATATAGCTGAAAGTAAAACCAACACACAATTAGAAAACATAATTTCAATAAGTCAGCTATACCATGGCTAACCAGCCCTGATGTCAAATGCAAATCTGATATACAAACAAAATGTTGGGACATACACAGTCAGCCTAGAATAGCTACATTTTATATTTTCCAAATATTCAGAGCTGTTTCTTCAGATCCTAACAAAACCAAAAAGCACATTTTGGTTTTCGTGATCCAAAAAGGAGGCTATAGACTCAAACAGAAACATTTTTAATGTCTTCAAAATGTAATTCCTATGGATGGTAGACTAAGATGCAGTTTCATAGCAGAGGCCCGGAGACTGTCTGGACAAACAATACCAGAAAGGAACTGCTATAAAGCAGCAGCAAACCTGAAACCCCTTACTCAGCCCACTCACAGTTCATCTTGTAAAACATCATCATACAGAACCGTGTAAAACACAAAGTTTGCAAGATTAAGTGTAAGGGTACACAGATCCAGGTCTCAGGAGGGCATTTCCACTTACACACATGGAGATCGGTGAGCTTTCACCTGGGATCGGAGAGTATGAGAAATTACGGTCCTCTTTGACACAAGATTTTACAGTCAGGGAGAGGGCGACAGACGGCTGGGACACAGGGACGTTACCTCAAATATGCACCCAGCCATAGCACGGACAAGCATCTTTCCAGAGGAAAAAGTCACCCCCGCTCCCGAGAGCCTGGTGGGGGCGGCAGGAGGCGGCTGCTGCCTGAGCCCTCGGGGACTCCTGTCAGCACTGCCCGGCCTGGAACGTCTGGAAGAGATCCCCGAAAAACACCCACTGCCGACTCAGGGAACGCGGGGCTCCCAGGAGCCCCCTTGAGGGGTGCGGGCGGGCAGGGGCGCCGAGCGCGCCCGGGGCAGCGCCGGCACAGCGCGGGGGCTCCGAAAGGGGCGCAGCCCCCCCGCGCCCGGGGGAGCGGCCGTGCCCCGGCCAGGGGAGGCCCCTCGGGGCGGGCCCGCGCCCACCCCCACCGTCTCCGTGCCGCCGGCGGCCCCCGAGGCCGCCCCGCGTGTCCCGGCCGAGGCGCAGCTCCGCGCTCACCTGGTCACGGCTCCATCTCGCCCCGAGCCCGCCCGCGCCCGGCCCCGCCGAGAGGCGCCGCCCCCACTCCCGCAGCGCGGCCGCGCCACCGCCGGCCGGCGCCTCGCAACCGCGGAAGCGCCCGCTCCGCACCGCCCCCGCCAATCAGCGCGGAGAGGCGCAGGTGAGCGGCACGGGGACTGACCAATGGGCTGCGAGCACCTGGGGAAGCTAACGGGTGCGAGGGGCGGGGGCGGGGCGGGCACCGCCTGACTGACGGTACGAGCAGCCAATAGCAAGGCAGGGATGAGGTCATCGTGGGGGGCGGGGGCGGGGCGTCGGCCTCGCCTTAAAGGGGCAGCGCTGGCCGTGTGGGCGCCGCGGGGAGGGCGGGAATGGTTTATGGGAGCTAAAAACATGAACCATTCCGGTGCGTGATGTTAATTCTGGGATGTTTAGGCTTAATGACAAATCAAGAATATTTGCCTTCCTTTCTCCCGTGTTTTCTCCCAGTGCTGCCCACCCCAAATCCTTGGGATGGGAGTGAAGGGTCCCCAGCAGAGGCTGGATCTTAAGTGCTGGAAATTAAATGCAGCAGCGCGGCGATTGTCCAGCTTTATCAGTGCTGTTGTAACCTTAAATTGGGAGATAACATTCAGTGAACCGAGACTGCTGGAAATTAGGGATTGCCCAACAGAAATCTTCACATGAAATGCATCCCTAACTTTTCCGCATTATCACGTGTGTAAAGCAGCTTCAGGGGCACCTGAGTCTCAGAAAAAAAAATCCCAAAGCAACCAACAACGAGGGCCGTGCCGCCATTGCTGCCTGACCTGTGACTGAATTGGAGGTTTCAGCTGATCTGGAAGTTTCAGCTGCCCCTTCAAGTGCCTGGCTGGGTGGTCTGGGCCTTTTCTTGGGGAAACGCAATGTTTCTCGATGTAGTACAAAGCCAGGAAAATAAATGGTGCAAGTGGGTGAAATGGTCATAGTGAAAACTTCAGTTAATGGAGGTGGGATTGTGGAGAAAGTAGAGGAATGATGCCATCCCTGAAGAGCAGGGCAGAGGACCATAGTTAGACCATTATGATATTGTTATAAATAGCTGGTGCAGTATACCTGCAATACTATTCTCGCCCCTGCTTACTGAATCTCAAAATGACGTTGAGTCATGACAGAGACTGTAAGAATACTCAGTGAAGGATTGTTTCGCACCGTGAAGCTGAAAAATTTAGAATCACCTTTCAAAACAAAGAAAAGGGCACACAAGTGAGGTGTACAATAACAAATGGTATAAAGAAGGCGTCATTGGCCTTTCCTTATTCTCTCATATAGTCAAAGAACTAGAGGACATGATATAACTGCAAAGCAATGTATGTGAAGTAGTTAGGAAAAAATGTTTGTGCCATGTACAATTAATCTATGCAATTCACAATAAGAAGCTTGATGATACAAGTTAGGTTCAGAAGAACCAAATACTTAGCCAGTTACTGCCAGTCAGCCACTATTTTGCCCTAATTTCCAGTGTTGACATTTACAGCTCTTTGCTTTTAATTCCCAGAGATCCAGTTCAGCTTTGGCTATGCACATAAATCTTTGAAGCAACGTAATTCTTCTCCCTACTCTTTGACAGGGTTAGCCCTCCAGAGGTAGTTTAGTGAAAGAATAGAATAAAAAAACATTCCCATGCATGATGGTGATTCTGGGAGTTTTAGGTTAAATGACAAGTCAGGAATATTCACCTTCCTTTCTCCCATGTTTTCTAACAGCTCTTTAGGGATCTGAGAGAAATGCTCCAGGTGGATGAGAAAGCATGGATGTCTTCCTGCTCTACAGTGTTGCCAATTTTAGCAACAATGGTGCCGTGGCTTGTTCTTGAAATCGTTTGCTTAGAAGACTTGTTAATAGATCTATTTACAGAACAGGGGAGGACAAATGATATGTCCAAGGACGTACCACAAACTGATGGCAAAGCTCACAGCTATGCCTGTATTTCCAGTTCACAAGCTGGAGTCCTACTCACTGAGCTGTATCTTCCTTCAAACAGATGGACATTTAAGAGATAGAAGCTTTTCTCTTCATTTCTATATGTAGGTTTCATTGGTTTGGTAACATCTCTACCGATTCACAGATTCTACATTTTAGTGATTGTTACTTGTTTTTCTAAGGTTTTCAAAGGTATTTACAGACCTTGATAAATATACAGTAAGGGAAAACAGAAAGATATAATTCCACTTGCCCATAAAAGCTTTCTGTCTTGACCAAGAACAGTGAAAAGTGAAGAACACATATTGCGTGCAAGCTATACTTTTTTGTTTTAGTTTCGGAGGCCTTGTTATTTTCAGTAGCTTTCAATTTCCTTAAGAGTCATAGTGAATTAACTAAATTCATGTTTTATTAACAAATGCATAAGAACAGTTTGCCATATTGGTAAAGGCAGCAAATCAAGTACATTAAATTACTTCAGTTTAATTTAATATTAGATGAAAGTTTACACTCCACAAAGAAGATGCCAGTGCAGTATAACAGAATACAGCAGAATTCAATACAGTTACAGTGGGACTAATTCTAAGTGCAGTTCTGAACTCAGTTGCATAATTTCAAAATCAAGTTACTTTTGGGTGCCTACCATGATGTCTTAATTATCATCTTAGCATTATATTCAGTTTTGCATTTGGATTTCCTTTCTCTTTAAAGAAAAGCAGTAAGAATGGGGGAAGAAAATCAAAAGAGAACAAAGTTAAAGGTGTCCCTAAGAGTGTTTCTAAAGATAAAGTTCTTAGAATGGCTCAATGCTGTGTTTAACATTAAAGACTGGATGGCCTTCAGGCATTTAAAGATGACTCTGCTTAAAACCATAAGCTATTACAGAAACCTTAATGATACAACAACTCAGAACATGCCTAATAGTGTTTATTGTCTTGGCATTAGGCTGATGGACAAATCGTCTCCTGATGGAAAAAGAACCTGGTTGGCACAGATAATTGTTCCTGCTTAATATTTTGGGGAGTAATGAATTCTTCTAACTAGGGTCCTGACAGGCAGTACACATCTGAGCAGCTCAGTAAGATTCCAGGTTTTCCAGGGGTTTACACAGACCACAGCAGCAGATGCTCACACGTGTGTGTGTGTGTGTGTACATACAAGAGAGTGTGCAGGGACTTTCCAGGGCTCTGGGGAAGCTCGTTCCAGAGGCACTTGGCCAAACAGGGGTGATTGCCAGCCCCGGGCTCAGGCAGAGCCTGTACACTGGCTGCCATGGCCAGGCTCCTGCAAGACACTGACCTGGACTTCAAGGGAAGCCACCTCTGTGGCGCCTCTCCCACAGCAGCCCTGGGAGTACTTGCATGTAGACGGATTCTGCTGGGCCATAATTGCCTCTGTCAGGGCTGGATGAGCTCTTCCACCAGACTAAGCACCATCAGTCACTTGATCAGCTCAGCTTCCACGTTATGGCCTTGAGCCAGAGCATATAATTCTCTCGGAGACTGCAGGGCAAAGGTTGAGGAGGAGGGTGTGCCAGACAAGGATAGGAAGGGAAAAGAATAGGAGGGTGCAGGAGCCGGTACTGGAGTTCGGGCATGTGTTTGAGCACATAGGAGGAGTAGCAGGCTGTATACACTGAAGACAGGGCTCCTAGTGGAGAGCAGAGGGCTGTGAAGCTCCTAATGGAGAGCAGAGGGCTGTGAAGTCCCCCTTTTGTGCATGGTCCAGCTCTGAGCAGGCAGCTGCCGCAACGCCCCAGGGTGGTACTGCCGTCCTGTTACGTTAGGAGTCCTTGTGAGAGCTTTAAAGGGAGCAGTTGACTTCGGGGTTGCATTGTAAAACTAGGAGGAGATGGTGTGTTCTCAGCATTGTTTAATCAAGTCCTGACAAGCAAGAATAAGAGATGACTGGAAAAAGTGTCTAATAAAATTCCTTGCCTTCAGAGAGGCCGGTTGCTTTCACTTTTTTAATTGAACCCTGTTGTTGACATGTTTCTTTCTTATTTTCCATGTCCTGCGCATCAGTGGCTGGTTTCTTTCCTATAATCCCTACAGTACAAGTGTCTCTTGAGAAAGGAGTTGAGTGAGGACACAAACGTCTTACAGAGGTAGTTCTATGACTGTTCAAAGTGTTATAGACACTCATTTTCCTGTTTTACGAAGGATGAGGATTTTCTGTTTTGAAATGGGTCAACAGTTTCAATTTGATAAACAACAATGTATTTCTTTTAATCTAAGCTTTGCTGGGCAAGGAATCTACTTACCTATATGTCCCTCACAAGAAAAGAGGGTTTGCCTGCTCAGCTGCTCAAAGAACAAGCAACATATAGGAAAAAGAGAGCAAAGGTAACTGACATCTTTTTTTAAAAGTATGTCCTTTAGGCAAATATCAAGCACAAGAATTTCTGAATAAAAAATTGTTTGTGGAAGTGTAAGTGCCTGTAAAAAAGTGTGTGGACTAGTATCAGAGTTCAGGGTTAATAATTAGTGTCTTCTATCAAAGGATACATTAATTATTAACTTTAGGCTGTGACTTCCAAGTTGTGACACACATAGGTAGGAAAGTATTTACCATAGTAAACAACACAGTTTACAAACTCATAGGTTCAAAAGTGAAGTGATAAAGACACATTGTGGTTTATGAGAAAAGGTGAAGGCTGGCCATCATCTTTTGTTTCAAAAGGACTGGCAAAGACACCAACTCGTTTCTGGGGTTATTGTAGTATTTTACCGCTTCCCTTAGATGGAGCCAAACTCACATCGTCCAGCTGACTGTGACTCATCAGTAGTGCATGCAGTTTACCCAAAATCAGAGAACTATGTAGCAGGAGAGTTTGTTATGGGTCCCTAAGCCCCATTTCCTGCCCGTTCCCCTAGACTGACTTCCTAATACTATTTCATTGCCTCCCAGGTCAGCTCCCACAATGCAGTGGCTACAGGCAATGACACACAAAAGCACTAATCTGACACTGACCTTCCCATACAGCCTGAGGGGAAACGTTTTTCAGATGTTACAAATATTACCTTTGTAACTACATGTTATATCACAGCTTTTGCTACTGGTCTATTCATCTGTACATTGAATAGA